CCCAATAGACACTAACTCTAGACATCATAAAAGTTACTCAGTTTTATGGTAACTAGGACCCTATTGCATGGCAGAAGTATCATGCGACCTATGAATGGTACTGTCTGACTTTTATTCTGAAGCAAGAGTTGCTGCCCCTTCTGCATGCTATCCCCTTTAACTACAGATATTATTTTCATGAACTCAGCTCTTGGGGTGAAATCTCTGTCCCACTGAAATCAAAGGCAAAACAGCAAACTTCAGAGTGCTCATTTCTGCTGTCTTCTCATTCCACACATTAATTATGCTTTAGGTTTCAAGTATTTCCTTTTATTTGTTTGAACTCTCCATTTTACTGCATTCTTCTTTTCCTGTCCCTCACATGAGAAGGCAGTAAAGAAACCCAGCTGATTTTCCTTACAGTACCTATTATCTCATAAACCTTTATCAATGCAACTCCTTTCTGCAAAGGAGAGTCCACATAGTTTCAATCTTTTAATACAAAATTCCAGCCTCTGATCAGTGTTCATTGCCCTTTTCCTGGTACAATACCTTTGAGCTAAGTAATGAAGATTGACCACAGTATCCAATATCAAAGCATACCATTAGTGCAACATGGCAGGCACAGCAGAGGTTCTCTCTCTCTCCTTTTCCTTATGACTTCTAAAAACCTGCTTTTCTGTTCACCACTGGGCACTGAACAATTACTGTACAGAGAAGATGGAAAAAACTGCAAAAGGTTAGAGTGAACATTCTGTATTACAGAAACAACATGAAAAAACAGCCCCTCCTTGTGATATTTATGTTTCTGTTGCTGGCCCTGGCAGAAGTCCAGATTCTGAATGAACAAAACTCCCAGTGGCTTAGGGACTACAGTATTCAGCCCATAGTCAGGAAATGCAATAGCATGTGACAATGGGAAGAAATAAAAAAAGCTTTCCAATGCTTTTGAGCTTCCAGCTCAATCAGTTTGGATCAAAACTCAGGGACTGTTGAGATTTTGTGTGAATGAGTTCTCTGTTGCTAAACAAAAACATGTGTGTGTTACAGTGTAAGACAGTTAAGTGGTAAACAGTATGTGGCTTTGCTTCCTCATTGATATTTCATTTTTACAGTATTAGCACTATATAACCCCATTTTATGTACAAGGCCATGGTCCTTCTCTATTCAAACACGGTGAGGAACTCTTTCCCAAAACAAAATTAGCTCCCTATTTCTCCTCCTTTCCAGGAAAGCTACTTGATAACTGTTGTTCACTACTCAGTGTCAAATCCTGGTTCTTCTACAAGATTAGAATTTAAAAGACTTGCTAATGTTCCATGTTTATTGTCATCCAGTCATTCAGGTTAAAATTCTGTCCTTTACAACAGATTTCCTTTGGTGAACTAATATCCTGAAAACTTAATTATTGGGAAAATAATGCCAAATTCTCTTATTTTTGTAAACATTTAAAATATAAATTAGCCACAATTCTATTATCAGGGACAGAATGTTTTGGGACTCCAGTAGACGCTGTACAAAGCAGAGATTTCATATTCACTTTTTCTCCAAGTACATACATCTTTCTCATGGGGCAGATGCTTGTCTTCACAGTTTATAATTTCTCTCTCTTTTGCAAGTTTAGTGACAGACCAGTAAAACCAGGACCTTCAAGCCACAGAACACAGAGGGCAGCAGGTGTCTAAGCACTTTCTTGTTGACCATTTCCATGACCAGACAGGGCCAGGTGTAAAATTCAGGTTTCTGTTTACATATTCCTGATAAGTACAGGATTTATAGTTTGTGAGAACATTCCAAAGAGGCCTGCTATTTCAGTAAACTAACATTAACTGTTTCAGAGACAATACTTTCTTTTATGGAACATTTATTTTATTTTACAAACTCCCTATGTATCTTATCACACAAATTCATCAAGAGAAAGTAGTTTTCTGCAGCAAGATTGTTATTTGTCAGTGAGAGCAGAACTGATGATTGGCAGCTGGAGACTGACACACTATCTATGTGATCAATGAAAGACAGCTAAGTGTGCCTAGGAATGTGGCAGAAAGGTGGCTGCCTGCTCCCACAATTGATGGTGGATGCAACTCAAGCAGTGTTTCGTGGGGCAAGTCACCCCAGTAGTAGAATAGACTGTGAACCATTTACTTTGCAGCAAATGAAAGGTGTAATTAAGGCAATTTGGAATCCTTGGCATAGTTCTAACTTCCCAGTTTTTGGAGTCCTTGATCAGGTTGCATCATGAAGTTGCAGTCTAGCCCAGAAAGGGGAGAGTATTTAAGAATAAGTTGGTTTAAGGGATCATGCCACTTCATGGTGAACAATACAAGGGCTTGGCATTCAAAAGTGGCTCCTATTACATTTTGCTTCTGGAGTAGAAGTGGTCTATGAAATTCTTACTAGCTTAATGTTTAAAATATCTGCTAAAAATTACAAGAAACATGCTTGCCATCTCAGCCTCCAGCAGGAAATCCTGCACTTGATTAGCACGGATTCTGGCTGCTCCCCCTCCCACCTCCCCACAAGTAGGTTTAACATGCCCGAACCCCATCAGTCCTAGGACCAGAGAGCGACGGGTAAAAACAAATGACACAAACTCCTTAAATGGTCTTGCCTTCTCTGGGTAGCTGGGAGCCTGCTGGAAACAGTTTCCCCAATACTGCATCCCATTGCTTTTGTTTATCTATCCGTGCTGACATTTTCTTCAATTAGGAAACAATAGCTCCCTTCCAATGTACTGAGCAGAATTACTGAAACCGTGTCACGTGACACCACGAGAGTGTGTTTTCAATTATTCACTCTGTCTTTTTTTGCCAGGCCTATGAAGAGGAACAGCCTTCCGCAGGAGTCAGGTTTGTCTGCCTCGCTCTTGTAAGTTCCTCCTTTTGAATTTTTATTTTACAGTTAGGTATTTTTTTTTTTTTTTTTTTTAATTTTTAACTGCAAATTCAACTCTCCAAGAGTTTCTTACTCCTTACTAGAAAACTTCCAAATCTCTAGCTCTTCCTGCTGCCTGGAAATCCTAGACATCTGCAATAGTTCAGTGCTGCTCAGTAATGGATCTGACAAAGATCACAAGATCTAGATTAAAATGGAATGCAAGATATCATGCTGTTAGCACTTGGTAATGTAAAACTCAGCTTGTTCTTGCTAGTAAAGAAACGTTCTATCTTTCCTACTGTCTGGTTAGCAGCAGAGCATTTGCCTTCAATGTGGGAGCTACACCAAATTATCTGCATCTTGTAAATGCTTGGTTTAATATCCAACCAAAAATTTGAACCAAATGGGTACAGCCCAAATCATGTATTTTGTTTGCAGAAGACAGACTGAGTTAGGGTTTTTAGACTTAAAGCTGGAAAAATAAAGCTTGGGGAAAAGAAAAAAAGAAACAGAGAGGAACATTTGGTTTGTATTACAAACCACAGACAACTTCCATCAGGCATGCTGGAGGTATAAGAATGGCAAGAGAAAATGACAAGCAGTGAGTGCACTGGAGGAAAAGATGAATGGTTCGGAGAACTGACTTTGAAGTAATTATTCATGCCACCAATACCTTGAATTAAATTTGATGGAAGATACCAATGAATCGTAAAGCTTCTTGGGCACTTGTGATATTGTTTTCTGTGTAAAATAACATTTCTGGATATTTTTATTGGAAAACTTATAGACTATGGTTTTGGTGCCTCCTATATTTCTGTCACTTATGCAACCCTGAATCAGCATCTCTGGAAAGGATGTTGCCTTAGTTAAGGCTTGGGCTGTGATCTAATATTTAGAGCAAGATCAAGTATTTAACTGGAAGTCTTCAGGTCTACTGAGTTTATTTGCACCTCAGCCACTGACTTGCTTTGAGATATTAGGTAAGTCATTCAGGGTTAAACTTGGTCTTTGAGCTGATGTAGCTCAAATGGGGGCGGGGGAGGAGAAAATAGCTGATGCAGCAGGGCAGAACACATGTTCCCTCTGCAGAAGGTAAAATTCCTCAGGAGCATTGCAAGGGGGTGGGGTGGCAGAATGCACTTAGAGCAATGTTTCCTTCACTGTTTCAACAGGTGTTTCTGTGTTCCCTGCATCCCAGATGCTTAGCATAGAGAGGCACCTATTGGAGCATTTAGTACTGATGGTAGTGCTCCATTCTTAAGCTCGGTAGCCTCAGACAGAGTGAAAAAGGGCTCCTGCATCTCTTATCCTTCATTCCAGCATGACAGTCTCCAGAGAGCTGTATTTTGACCATTAAGCTATCAAGTCCTTTGCTTGCCTATGTGCTTAATAGCTCTTTTAAAATTCTTCCTCTTTGGGGAAGTGAGAGTGCAGTTAATGTTTGTACAACATTGAAATCCTTGAATGAAAAGTGTTATTTCTTCTAGTTTTCCCCCATAGGCAAAATTGTTTAGGTCTGAATGTGAAACTTGGGCTAATTTCTGACATTCTTATTGCTAGTGTCTAATAGCAAATGCCAGAATCACAGAAGGAGCATAAGACCCTGTTGCAGACTTTCAAGTGATGTGCATTCCACACACCTTCAGCAAGCAGCTCTGTTGCTTCCTACCCAGGTGCTGAGGGGAGGTACTTGCAGAAGTCCCCCTCATCCTAGCCATCCTATTGCTTTTTCAACTCCACATTCTGGTCTAATGGGCCAGATTGCATTTTTACTTATCTTCAGACATACAGGAAAAGCAACATGAAGCTTTTCAAGATTAATTTCCTAATGCGCTGGGGACACTAACAGGGATATCCCAAATGAAAAACTGCAATTAGGTACATACATATTACGGTACACTCAAGCTTTGGGCTTACAAAACACTAAAAAGTGTCTTTTTTAAAAGAAAGAAAGAAAGAAAGAAACAAACAAAACCTCCAAACTTTGAAAGTCTTTATATTTTAGTAAGGATAAGCGTCAGTCAGCTTTTAACTAAAGTAATTAACAAAAAAGCATACAAAAAATTGCAAACTTCTGATGCTGAATTATACCACCAACAACTACTTATTTAAATTCTCAAAATGATTGTCCAGATATCATTCATAGCACTTTTTATTTCTGTACTTCAAAATAAATTACTGCATAGAGGATCTGAAAAGTAGGTCCTCTCAACAGTGCAGGAGGCAAGATTGAACCTAGAGAAATAAGATCCCAAGTCATCCACAAAGTCCATGTGTTAGAGCGGAGCTCCATCTGTGTCACACCTTTCCCCATCCCCTCTGGCCTCTGTGTCCTCACACAAAGGCTTAGATTTCCTTTTATTCAGGAAGGGAGTGTGGCTGTGCTGTTGGGCAGTCCTCCATCCCTACTATGCCTGCCTTCAGCCATGGTTGCAATCTAGTTATTCATAAGAAAGGCTACAGAAAAAGAAAAAAAGAAAAAGAAAAAAAGAAAAAACTAGAACATTCTGTGTATTGAAGAGAACAGAGAATTAGCTAGTTCAGTTTGACCCTGAAAGCTTCCCTCATGTTAGTGTGGGGGAGGCTGAAAGCCCAGTGACTTTGGTTCCAATGTTTCCATCCAGTGAGGTCAGACTCTCCCACAGGAGCAGAGGGGATCACAAAGACACACAGGAGAGGGGCAGAAAACACACCAGCTCTGTGGAACTTGACATCTTCTCTGAATACTTTCAAACTTAAACTTTGTCCTGGAATAGTGTCCTGCTAGGAAATCTGATGAGTTCCAATACTTCTGAAATGTTAGGGATTTTGTTTTGGAAGAGAGACAGCAGGGAGCAGAGCAATATTAGGACTGGCATGATGGAAAATAAGTTATGATGGAAGGCTGTAGGAACATTACCTACCAAAAATGCCAGAAAGGACTGCACAAATAAACATCCTTCTCCCTTGGAGATGACGGGAACTCTTTGCTGCTCCTGAAAAAGCTATGTGTATTTTTTTTTTTACAAATCCAAATAAATTCAGATTCACGCTGAATTGTGTATTTCTCCAGCAATGCCATATAGCTCCTTCAGACAGATACTCAGTGACATAGTGTTTATCATTTGTTTTTATTTTTCCTGGTTATTTGTATGAGAGGAAAAAAAAAAGGAAAAATAATCCTGCAGATTTACTATAAGGCTGGCTTGGATTTATTATATGAATCTGCTTTGGTTGGAACTTGCAGGCCTGTGTTTATTGTTATGGCTGTAAGATACAAAGTGTGTACATACCTACCCAATTCTGCATAGAAGCAGGGGAAAAAAAAAACAAACCCCAAAACATAACAACCCAGTTTAGAGCACAATGTAAAACTTTTTATCTCAATAGTATACTTGAGAAGTGTTTTTCAAATGACATTGATTTTCAATTTTGTGTATAACACCTACAGCATCTTTGACATGCAAATCCTTTACTTTCAATAGGTATTTTCTCTAGAATGGCAGTATACAGTATCAGTTAGGTACTGTGAAGAGAATAGAAAAGGCTGTGTACTAAATATAATAAAATTTGAGAAAGTAAAAATAATTAATTTATACTTCTTGTTGAATTTTCAGCACTGACACGTACCTACCAAATAATTTCTAGAAAACTTTTCCTGAGAGGAAAAGGAAATAGTTTAACAAAGCTCCTCTTTGTTATCTTAACATGCTCATTTCTTTATTCATTTTACAAATGCTCCAACTTTAGCCACATTTTGATTGTATAGCATTTCTTCCATTTTCTCTTGATTTTGTACGCTGAATCATATGCTGAAACACACCATTTCTGTAATGGGACACTTTTTGATTGATGTATTTGAGCTATATTTCTTTATAGAGTTCCATCCCTAATCAGATATTCACATCTTAAGTGCTTCCCTGGATCTCTCTGTTACTGTTAAATGCACAGTCTTAAGTGAGTTCTGATCTGCAAAGGTAGGAGTTTTATAGCAGCCTGACATTCCTTACTCTCTCATGGTTAAGAAACTACTTTTGCTAAATCACTTATAAATCAGATGTGCCAGGTGGAGAACTTAACCTCGACAATTTGATTAATCTTCTTTGAATTATAGTGGTTTCATAAATTTAACTTCAGAAGGAGCTTCCTCTTTCCAAATAATGTTAGGAGGACAGAATGATGCTTTTAAAGTATCTTCCTTTTCAATTTGGGATTTCAACATGCAAATTCAGCAGAAGCCCAAAGGAAGCAGCACAATGGAAGCATCAAAAACATTTATTAAAAGCACTCCATTGTGCTTGGGGAGCCCAGGAAGAGAATGAAAAGGTGAAGGAGAATTTAGCAGAGCACTGTACAGAAACAGAATTAGCAAGTCATGAGATATCACGTGGCTGTTAGCAGCCTGAAAGGCTCTGTTGATTCGATTTATTCATTAGGGCTTTTCAGTAGTGTAGATTATTAAGTGGGAGAAAGTGGGGTATATTACAACTTACTTTTTATATTTCCTTTCCTGGAGGATATTTAGCACCAGAGAAGCAGAGAAAGTTATTGAAAGTATCATGCCGCATAAATGGGAGAATGATAGGAAAAAGAGCAGCACCACCAGCTCTCTGAAGATGGATCGTAAGAACAGTGCTGGGAACAGGAAGTCAAGAAAGTTTCGCTCCATTTCAAGATCACTTATACTTTGCAATGCCAAAAACAGTGATGATGGGTCAAGTCCTGATGAGAAATGCACTGATCCCTTTGAGATCGCTACCAGTTGGGGTCAAGAGGATTTTGACTGCTGTCCTAGAACACAACAGCCATACACATCAGAGACAGAAGACAGCCCACCTGATCCTCCACATGTGATCACCAGCATGGTCCAGTCCAAAGCTGCAGCAAATGAGAACTGCAACAACATGAGAAGAAAGTTACTCACCAAGGTAGGCAACTCGGTGCAGTATATTGTAATGTTCCCCACTGCAGTAGTTCCTAAACAGATTAATTCATAGTTCTCAGAAAGACAGGATTCTACTAGGCTTTTTCAGACCCTATGAGCCTGCAGTGTTCCTACTCTGTATAAACAGCATGAAAATGTATTAGCTTCCCTGCTGTGCTGTTGCACTCTGCTGATCAACATTCTGCTGAAATCAGTGACTGCTAGGCCACTCTTGGTGTTTTCAGACTAGCACAGCTGGTGCTTTCTACCTGTAGTATAGTATTCAGCTCAAAATATAAAATCGTCACTATAGTAAAGTGCATTTGTAAAGTGTGATAACATGAGATCTCATAAAGTATGCAAGTATGAATTATATTAATACTATGAAAGACACAGGACATTCAGCAGGCAGATGTTCTTTCTGTCTGATTCACGAAGGAGGTAATGATGGCTCTAAAACCAACAGAGATAACACTTTTTCGTAGAGATATAAAAAGCCTTAGCAGCCTCATGTTACAACATTATTCTTTAATCAAGAAGTAACTATGTTAACCCTAATGAGCTGAACAATTTTTCAGTTTGAGCAATGTATTTTAGATGCCTTTAGAAAGTTTGTTTTCAATGACGTATCCTAATTTTTCAACTTTCTCTCTACTTGTTGATGTGATGTGTAAAAGGAACCTCATTACAAGTATAACATGTCTTTTATTACAGTTTGTGTCCTCTTGGCACCTTCCTTATTATATACCTTTTACCTGTGCAAATAGTGGCTTATGTGAAAGAACTGAGTCTTTCACCTACAATATTTCTTTCTTATATATTCTATTTTATTTTACATACCTTCAATAAAAACTGGCTAAAAGTAGACCTCTATGTCTAAACACACAGTGGCACAGTGGTACTGAAAATCAGAATCTCCCCTTACTCCTTGAGTTTCTTGCTAATGATCACAGTATGAAGCCCAATATTGCAAAGACTGCAGCAGCACAGAGTTCTGGATGTGAGGTGTTTCAGTCCCTGGCAGAGTTCCAGCATGAGGACAAAAACAAACCAACTTTCTATTACATTCTGACAGAAAGCATAAATAAGTGACACTGACTCAAGTCCCAAAATACACTCAGTCACCTGCAAAACCACACCACCTTCCCCCTTTTGGAAACAGTCCATATGCACTCTGCTGATTTCCTTCTGTGAGTGAAGAAGGAGCTGGACTCTGTGGACTCCCTCCTATTCTCTTTTAACAAAGCTGAAGTACTTTCTTACGTGCATGTCAGCCGTCACAGTCCACTTGCTTCCATGCCTCCAAAACATGCAGGGCTCCAATAACTGTTGTGATCCATACCCATATGAAACTACTCAGTATCTTATTGCAGACTGTAAGTTTAGATCATTTGCTTTTATAGCTGTCAAGCAGCTCAAACAGGGACCTGGGGAACAGAGTGAGTCTCATAAGTAATGCCATTGCATAGATAATATATAACTGCTAAGGGTATAAATCCACTCCTAGGCTAGAGTGGTAGTGCCACTGAACAGGATGGGTCAGGAGCCTGGGTAGATGGTGCCATAAATTAGTCAGCAACTCAGTCCCTTGCAGCAGCGTTTGGGTTGCTTAGTGCTATTGTAGACAATGGCTATATTAAATTCCCTCTCCAGAGCTTTCATAGCAATATAAACCTCTTCAGATGCTACTTGCTAATCTTCCATGCCTTTCAGAGTCATGGATCAGTGAGTGATTCTGAAAAGTCTTATTTCAGCATGCTAAACAGGATGAACTTTGGTAACAGGCACACTGACCTTATCCTGTACTGTTGTTGCTGAGGCTTTGCCCTATATTATGAAAGCAGGGATCTCTATCTTCCATATGGCACAAGCCTGTCAGAACAGTCTTCCTGTACCATGTGTCTTAGAGAGCTTAAGCTTAAAACCTCTCTCTTTAAGAAAGGAGTCAACAAGCATTTTTCAAGTCCCAGCATAACACTCACTCTATCCACCTCCATGTGACACTTCAGAAATTCATGATGTGTGACTCAGAGATGAAGGATCCTTGTCTTTGTCCAAGAAAATTGATTCCATTCTTTCTGTGGTGTTGCTGAGGATATTCCACTATTCTGCTTCCCACCGCCTGCAGCCTTAAGCATGATTCTGGAGGTGCTAATAACTCCCACAGAACTGAACAACCTAATTCTAATTTTTGCTGTCACATTGGAAGGAGAGAAGAATGTTTAAAAGTGCTGCATGATTTAATGCTCCCTGTGCATTTCTTCTCCAGAGCTAAGGTGGAACTTAGACCATCAGTATTCCAAATACTAGGTTCCTCTATTCTGTTCAAAAACTTAAGTATCTCTTTGAACTATACTCTGCTGATTGCATGGGATTCACCATAAGCAATAAACCATGAACAAATCAGTGTTTCAGGACTTCTGCGTATGTATTAGAGGAATGTTTTCCTGATTCCAAAATCTTTAGGATACCAAAGAATAGTCCTATGTCTCATTACTAACGGTCTGAGAAGTTAGGTACTACTTACAATAAGGAAATGAAAGGCAAGAGGAAGATTTTTGAAGAGAGGGCCTCTATGCATCACGATGTCAATTCCTTTCACTTCAGTCTTCAATAGAAAATGTTGCTGTAGCCACTGAGAGAAGCACTGCAACATGAGTACAATCTATATTAGACTACAGAGAATCCCCATAGAAACACTTTGTTCTTATTGCACTACCTGTAGAAAAGACTTTGAGCTGGAACTGAGATCTTATAATACACCAGAGAATTTCAGAAGGCTGAAATTCTGATGATACCAGATTTTGTTCATTCTTTTTTTTCAACAAAATATGTACAGGTTTTGGTGCTGATACTACTACACTGATTGGGGTGGGACTGCAAGTCGATGTCACTGCTTCTCTACCATCTGACTCACAGCACTGTGCTAGCATGTGTGTGTGAAGGGACCACAACCTTGTATCTTGGGTAAATCTGGCTGTTGTGAGGAGTATTGAAAAGATTGGCCCCAGATGCAAAAAACTGACTTGTACCTGGGTATTTTTGGTTTTAACCAAAGCATCCATAGTCTGCATTTACACCACTAGTGTACCACAAGGGCAGAGGGTTGACATTATTTAAGTGTGATACTGCCTACAACTTTTACTGTGATGATATGTGGGCAGCATCAGATGGTAGGGGTTTCAGTTCATAACTGCATCTTCTAGGAAACTTCTTTCCAACAATATGAGGCATGGTTGCACACTCAACATGTAAAGCTGTAGGGATTAGCCTTTCATCTGTATAGAAGTTACAACAGGTGAAAGGAAACAAGGTTGAGAAAAGGCTTAAATAGGAGCCCATGAACAACTATTCAGTGGTTCGTTACATTCAGAGCAAAAGCCTCAGCCAGTGTTACATCCATGTGACCTATGCAGTTACCTCAGACATTTGGATGATCAGATGGTCATTCACATCCTGCCAAGACAAGGCCACTATACGTAACAGGGCCCTGTGTAACAGTCCTTAGTGGTTATGTCCTTCTTTGACCTCAGCCTACCCTACTGCCACAGATACCTCACTTTGGTGCTGGACTCCTATTCCCAGTCATTTTTTCCCACAGAAAAGCTGCTGCCATGACATACTGAGCAGGTAAGAAAACAGGACATAATCTGGGAAGAGGGAAATGGAGAGGGAAGAGAGAGCGTGGAATTACGAAGAGAAAAAGAGAAAAGAGTTGATCATGGAGTACTTTAAAGTAAGTGAAGTGAGGGGAGGAGAAAGCAACAGTCAAAAGCAGTGAAGGAATCATATCTGCAGCAAAGTGCATCACCTAACTATTCCCCACTTCCTATGAAATGCCGCATTCTTCCTCCTTTTCTTCACTGTGTCCTATGCACATGTTGTGAATTGCAACAGCAATCACATTCATCTACATGTTGCTCAGCAGAAAGGCAGGTAGAGATGTTCCCACTAAGGACTATAATTTCATATAATTCCCAGCCATCTCTCTCCTTCTGCCTAGCTGATTGTACAGGAAAACAGTAGAAATAAATAATACATCACGATGCACATGCAGGCAAAGAAAAGCTGTATCAAAATCTAACAGCACATAAAAACTTATGCTTTGTGAGATAGTACCTGGGAAATAATGTCTCAGTCTGATCCATTAATCTCTACATCCTCTTCAAAGTATCTCCTTTCATTATATATTCTAAATAGCAAAGATTTTTTTCCCCCTTCTCTAATGTACTGTCAGTAATGATGAGAACAGATGAACAGTCTTTTAAATCATTTGGTTTCTGTGTTCCAGTATTCACTCATATTGACTGTTGCTCATTGTGTCTACAATACCCAAGATTACCTGGGTGTCATTTGTCCCATCAGCTCCCGGATCACTTAGCTTCCAAGATGAGGTGCACTTAGATCTCTTTTATAGTTTGCTTCTCACAAAACCAGCAATTTTGGGGTGGCCTGAAAGAAAAATAAAATGAAAAATTTGTAAGCAGTGTCTGATACCTTGTGCGCTGACACAGCAAACACTATGGAAGATGGCCTTGCCTGCTCATGTCACTACATAGTCTGAAACTGCCAGCTGTAGGGAGAATGGACAGAACTAGATATTATCAACTCATATTCAGAGATGAGCAGTCTCTGCTGCATTTGATTGCTGCTTCAAGACATCCCATTAGTTCTTCCCTGTACCACAAACACCCTGGGAAGCCCTGAGAGTTACCAGCCAGAGAGTTTGATATCAGGGTTGAAACAATCTCTAGAATAAACTGTACAGGGAAGGCCTGACTCTTTGTGCAAACATTGGATCTGAGCTGATCTGACTGCATGGCTCCACTCAGCTCCAGAAACTGCTCTATCCTTGCTTCCTTTGGTCCCTGACCCTCTGCTTGAAGGAGAAAAAAAGCAAAAGGTCATTTTTCTCCCTTGGTCATCACCAGAATATGTTTTTATGAACTCGCCTTTACACAAACACCACTTAGCTGGCCCACTGGTACCAGGAAAAGTGTTACAGCAACAGACTGTAATGTCTCAAACATGAGCCTGTGGGCAGGATGGAAAAACAAAGCCAGTAGAGGAGACTACATTAATTTAGACATTTATATATTCTCTTCCCTTTTCCTATTTGTTCTCTCTTTCTGTCTTCCTGGCCTTCTTGCTTTTGTGACATCAGGGCCATATTATCCCAAGAGCAAGTTGGGAAAGAGCCTGTTATATTAAGACAATGTGTGCTGCAAAATGTGGGCCAGGGCAAAGACTCCCAGAAAAACATACCAAAGGCCAGATGATGGGTGGAAAGGTCTGTCTGTAACATTTGATGTGCTGAATCGTCTATCTAGGGCAGAACCTTAATCCTATGCCCTGCTTGCATCATCCATAAAAGGCTTTCTAGCTTCTGCCATTTTATTAATTGCAAAGGGAATATGCTGCTGGGAAAATGCAATGCATCTACTATAAATATTTTGAAAAGACCAAGGCATCAGCTAGGGTACGTCAGAATCGGTGGAGTCACATCAGTTTATGCCAGAGAGACTCTGGCCCTTTCTTGGCTAGAACTGATGCAGAAAAAAATCCTTCTTGAAGAAAATCCCCAAAGACTGTATTCTCTTAAATTTCCACTTGGAAATCCCAGCCATTTCATGGTCAGAAGGCCAGAAAGGCTAAATATTTAAATTCATTATTGTACTGTTGTTAGATTTTTTTTTTTTAAAGCAGTCAATCAGCTTATTGACATATGCTTGGTTAACTGAGTCAAAGACCTTACTTGAACTAGTCTTGTATAACACTTCATTTCAGACAATCTAACTACTGTGTCTTACATTAAAAGTGCACAAAAGTTTTTCAGTATTCCACAGGTGCCATGGTTACCCTTATTTCTAAACAACATCTGGAATTAGATGTTTTGAGATGGGACTCTGGGCTAGAAATGTCTAATGATAGCGTGAAGGAAAAAGAAATCTTTTAAATGGCAGATAGAAAAACATCCTCAGAAGCTTTGCATTCGCATGACAAAAAGCAGGGAGCAGAAAGAGAGAGTTGGTCTGGACGTGGAAATTACTTTTCCAGAACTAAGCACATGAAAAATTAGTCTACTCTCACCTGTGACAAAAATGCATTCAAGTAGGCTCTTGAACTCTGCCTCTGATATTTATCTTGCAGGCAAGCAAATTCAAAGACAAATTTTGCTTATAATGCACTCCCACAGACTTCCTTCATTTTGTTTTCACAGTGATGAGTGAGTATTGTAATGCAGATACAAGTTTCCCCAGAGTCCGAAGTGCTCAGTGGCAAAGCCCCCTACAAGCAGAGAGATTTTACTCGCTGGCAGCAAATATCTACTTAAACATAAGTCCTAATAATGAGAAGGCAAGGTTGACCTAGAATCCACCTGCTCACTCACCAAACCTGCCAACATTATTTTAGCAATTTTTCAGCTTTCACTACATTCAGAACTGTGAATCACCTTTCAAAATGAGCAGAACACTTTAAAAAGGAGAATGATGCAAAATAAATAATGTCTTTATGCTTGGAAACATCAGCAGTATTTCTATGCATAAAATAAGAAGTGAGACAGGAAATAAAAGATATTAAAGAACAAAACACAAAGCAAATTGACAGCTGGCATAGGAATTGGTCAAATGTTTATTTTTCTAAGTAATAGCTTTTATTAATTTTCTGTCATGTTGCAATAACTTGGATGTGAATATAGCGATCTACATCCAGGACCCAAAAAGTGCAGATGCTGACAACATACAGATATTCGCCACATGTCCCTACAGCCCCATAAAAACTTTTTTTTTTTTTTTAAAAGTGATTCGCATAAATGAATTGCAGAAATGATTGCCACACAGAACTTATTTGAAATGTAGCCCAACTTGGTAAAATGACTACAGATTTACACAAAAATTGTTCCCAAGATTTTTCTGCAGCATACAATGGATTTAACCTCTACTTTCCTTCTGAATAAGTGCATGTAACTTATTGCTCTTGGAAAGGATATTCATATCAGTTTTTACTTGGTGTCATTTCACATATATGTACCAATACAACCCAGAATTTCCAGTCTGGCATGAGTCCCACTGTACAAAATACAATGTCTTCCCCAAAGGACTTACATGGTGCTGTAATGAGAAACCTCAGAGCCAAACCCTCAGCACTCTGTGATGTTCTGTGAAACTGATGAGAGCCGAATAACTTTTGGACGATTAATTATAAGGATTTTTCTAAACACTGTGAATGCAGAAGATGTACACTGTGAACAAGTTATAGGAAGGGCATAAGCATGACTGTATTCTTAACATAAAAGACGAATTGAGGACAGTTTGAAAAGGCCCACCATTAAGTTAAAATCATGAACAAAGTGAAGCATGCAGAACAGCTATGCAAAGTTCTGTGTGAGTGCCTGACCAGTATCTGTGAGAGGATATATAGATATTTCAAGGGAGCTGTACACAAGAGTAAGGACTCTTAAGAAGAGAAGTTGGCCAACCCAAATGTGAATTCTGACTACAAAAAAAAAGGGAAACAACTTTTTTTAAACACTGACTCTATAACACAATTATTCTTTCACAATAGCCCAAATCCATGATCAGCTGATGCCTCAAAATACTTACCCAACTGGCAGAATAATTTCCTACCTTTAATAGCTGTCTTACATTTCTCATGTTTTAGAACAAGCTCACTACTCTATCGAAAATCCCTCAGGTTTGATGGATGTTTCATGTATGTAGAAACTGGCCTGTAATTTCTTACTGATACCTAAAACAAAGGACAAATGGAAACAAACAGAGAAGGTAGCTTACATTTTTGCTACTTAAAATCTGAAATTTTAAGACATTAGAATTCTAAACTTTATTTTGTTACCATGCCAAAGACTTCAAAGCACTGCCATAAGATAAAAAAGAAAGTAATGTAGTCCTGGTTTCAAGTATGTATTTCCCAAAATATTTACCTTGGGTGAAAAGTAAATATAGGAGCTCCAAAACTAGTATTAGAGTCCAAACAAACTGTTTAAACAAACTGGTTTAACACAGAATTCTGTCCATGCTTATACACTTACCTGTTACTTACTAGAATCACTCTTCATGAACAAAAGAGGCTTCATAAAATTGTGATGCTGCTCATTAATGGCAGACACTCTGGAATGCAAACAAACCCACAGAGTTAACAAGTCAGTCAATTCAAGTATAGCCCTTATCCATCACCTACTGAATTCAGCCTGCAGTGAGCCTAGGGCTCCAAGTTAAATACTTCATTCATTCACAGCCTCAGATTTACTCTGGCAGGTTTCAGAGTGGGAGTCAGGCTTCAACAGTCAGCCTGGAAGATAATGACCTTTATTGACATTACTGTAAACTTGAAGTTTGTGTTTGCTATCAGCCAGTATAATGTGCTCCCTATTGATTTGTAGTGAAAGGGCATAATGATTCTAACCCTCTGGGCTGGATGAACTCTGCTTAGGGCAGAAATTAAGCCCTACTGATGGTGAAGGTGGTTACCCATCTTTCCTTGTGCTGTCAGACTATCGAATATTGGAAGTAGTTGATGCCATTCTGACCAGGGGACCTGGGAGCAATACAGACAGTTGACCACTGCTATATTTTGTGGCCTGTCCTAATATATGAAATTTGCCTTCCCTTCAGAAATCTATACCTCAGTCATACAAATCTCTTGGGAGCAAGCCTGGATCCAGGATACACTGAGAGCCCTCTTCACTTTGTGGAGTATGGAGAGGCTGGCGAGGGCAGAGGAGGTGGGTTCAGCTGGGAGCAGAATGAGGGAATACTTGAATTAGGAGATTTACTAAGCAAATGGAACAGAAATTCTGTGATAACTTTACAGCTTTCCTTGCCTCTTTTGAATTTTTAAGTTCACACATTTGCACTGCAGGAGTGTATTTCCTAGACAAATGTGTTGCCCTTTATGTGCTTAGTCAATCCATTCTTTGCTTTACTTACTTATATGACTTAAGACACTATTTCTCTTTCTGTATGGCCATATGCTAATGATTCATAACAGTGTTAAAAATGTGCTTACAATTAGTCCTCCAGATGCAACACACAGACTACAGCAACCTCAGCCAATCTGGAGTGGACAAAGAATCTTCCACTGTTGCAGTCCTCTCTGCTCCCCTGCCCCCACTTAAGTCAGCAGTAGAGGTGGAGTTTCTAGTGTTTTGTATACACTTATTTTCCATTCAGACCTCTTCTGTTTTCCAGAGTATTTCCTTTTCTGGCCTATGTTTATTTTCCTCCCTGTCTTTTCTTATAATAGTTAGCATAGGCAAAATTTATCCAGTTACTATGAAAAGTCTATTATCTGTTCTCTTCCCCTCTATGGAAAGGGGCACTCTATTCAAATACTTCCCTCTTGTAGCCAGAAGCCACTCAAGTCCTGAGGAAAACAACTTTTTAAATACTGACTCTAAAATACAATTATTCTTTCACAACTGCACAGTGTTAAAGGCATGTTTCTGTTCTACGTGGAGGCAATCTAATTCTAAGAACAAGAACATTTTCTGTATTTCTTTAAAAGGCTCAAGATAACTGTAAGTAACTTTTAACATCCTTGGTACATTTTCTTTCATGCAACCTTTCATCTTCTGAATCAGGACAGCTGCATCTGCAAACTGTGTACAACCACAGGGAACAGCAGCTCTGGAATCAAGCTCTCTAGGAGTCCGAAATGTGCATCTCTGTGGAAAGGGTTCATGGGCAGCCACGTGTCTGCTGGAGGTGCAGCAAACAGGTACAGTAGATGTGGAGTCAGCAAGCTTTTTAGGGAGCCATTTGTCTGCATGGAGTTTGCATGACCAGCTTTCTGTGAGAAGCTATGCCGTGAAGCTCAGTTTCAGAGAAATGCAGTGATGTTTGGGAATCATTTCTTACAGTTGGAGACACAAGTCAAGATTCCAGAAAAATAAAAATGTGACCATTCAGGGATCCAGTGCTTCTCGATTACACTAAGAAATAAAACCTGAAAGAATGGAAGATTGTACATGACATTAAGTTTTCAACTGGTGCCTTCCTAGTGGCCCTATTAAAGGGCAAGGTAGGATGTCACCAGCCTAGCAAGGCCACTGGAAAGCAGTGTAAGCCAAAGTTCCTGAGAAGGAGCAAAGCATATAGTGTCTGATCAACTTGCAAATGTAAGATGGTGAGAGAGGAGAAATATTTTGCCTGGATGTAAGCTATATGTGGAAAGGCAGCCATTGATCGCCAGGGCTGAGCAGAATAGAACAGCAACAAGAAAAAACCCTAAGAGGAGATGGGGTGTATCACACATCAATACATCTCATGGCACGTCTGTTCAAGGCAAAGGGAAGATTGCAGCCGATTCCTCAGTTAGTGAGACATGTAGCACAATAGTGCCATATTGTTCTTTGTAAAACAATATGCAAGCATGTTCCTTTTTTCTTTCTTTTTAAGGGATGGTCACATGAGCCCAAGGGAAGAACTGCTAACCCTAAATGGACAATCACTTAAAGATCTGTCGGGCAAGGAGGCTGAATCTCCCATTCTTCCAACAACACAGCTGATGAACATCATGACAGTTAGCAAAGTAAGCATGAAAGTTGCGATTCCCTCCTACAATGGTGGGGTGATTTGACAATATTTGTTTGAGAGAGAAGGGGGATTTATGCATCAGACATTTGAAGAATTCTGCTCTTCCTGACAAAATCCCAGACCTCTTGTGGTCAGACTCTGGTGACTTTCAGCATAGCTTTTTCCCAGATAAACAGAGGCTATGAGGAGGCCAAGGCCCTGGGAAATTCTAGCAAGGACTGTACAACCCCTCCTGTTAGAAATACATAGCTTGAAATATTAATTTTCCATTTGGAAGCTGAGCAAAGGCAGGGATGGATTTAAGGGAAGATCCATGAATCGAGAAGCCAGAGAGCAAGCCCTGTACTGAAGTAGTTTTGTGGATCTAGGATCCATAGCTAGGAAATTCCCATGGTGAATGTTACTGGAGTCAGATACAGAGAGAGGGGAATAGGAGGCAGCATTAACAGGTCAGCATCCCTGGATCATCACCAAATCTTTCAGAAGAAAACACTTTTGAACTTTCTTTCACAGAATAAATTTCATTGGATTAGATACATGTGATTTCAGGCTTCTTGTCCTCTCATCCCCACCCCAAACTAGATGACACCAAAGGCTTTCCACTTGCAAATTCTGGAAGAAACATGAGGATAATGAATGAACAGTTAGTCCTCCCCACACATTTACCACTTTGAAGGCAACAGAGCTCACCCAGAGATTTGCTGCAGGCTTCAGATCTCGATATTCAATGAAAAAAATGCAGTTTCTGATTCTTATCTGCATTAGGGTCACACAGAAAGCTCTGATATAAACCTAGACTGAGAAAACACCCCTGACTGAAACTGCTATCAGGTCTGAGTAGAGTGTGTCTCTTTCTAGGACAGCAGTGAACTGTCTCACCCAGATGTCTGCTGCATTCTGCCAAGATTTTTGTTTATTTTCTCTCCTTTAAATGCCTAAGTGGCCAGAGCTGAACTATATTAAACTTCTGTAGCATAGTACCACCCAAGAGGCAGCCAGGTAAACTGCGCATTTAAAGACAAGTCTGCGCCAAATTAATTAAGGGTTAATAGCAAAGGCTTTTCAATCTACATAGCTTGGCAAGAGAAGCACTGCAAAATCATTTTCAAAATGCCTCTTTAAGGATCTTCTGCATTTCTTGTTTTGAAGAGTTCCCTAGAGGAATGGGACTGGAAAGCCCTAGTAGTATTTTGCTACTTGGCAATGCCTCCACCTGCTGTCGAAGAGGAAGATTATCATTCATTAGTTCTTGAGGTATCTCCAAACAGCACCAGTAAAATCAGGCTTCTGGAGGAAAGTGTTTGTTTTAGCCGGCTCCAGACAGATTAAAATAAATAGATCCTGCTCTGATGCAGCTTTTGTGGCCTTCTTAGCCCCTGAATAATATCTCAGAGCAAAATCCTTTTATATTTGGAGTTTTACTATATTTCAATCAGTTTCCTTATGCTGTCTGTATTTAGTAATGTTCTTCCTTTAATTATGATTCCCTCAGGACCAATGGCATTCCCCATGTCACAAGAGAAACAGGACTTTCAGGAACCATACACATGCAGAATTATTCTTAACATCGATTGTTATTCAGATGTAATCATATTTATTTATTTTCAAACTGTTCTAAAAACCTACATTTAGAAACCTGAATGCTTTATCTACAAGTTTTTAAATGCTAGAATTAGTGGCCACATTTTCAAAAGCAACTAAAAATTTCCTAAAAAAGTGGAAGGGCTGAATTTTTGGAAAACATTAAAGCTTAGTCCTCAAAGGTTTTTAAAGACCTGGATCATATTTTGACTAAAACCCATCTGTCCAACACCAACAGAAGCTAGACACCTATCCATCACTGCAAAGCTGGGCCTAAGAATTTTTCTTTTGAAAATGCCCTTCTAAGGTCATGGAAAAAAGTACCCAAAAGCACCAGTTATCTCCAGATATTAGACAAGCCTGGCTACAGTTTACCCATACATCAAAATATTAGTCTGTCTGAACCAGCTGGGGGTGTCCAATTAATTTTTTGTCCATTTTGACTAAAGACCAGAATCTATTTTTATCTTATTACTTTGGCAATTTATAATCATGTTTATAGCAAAGTTTTGAGTTGTATTCTCCTTCATCATCCTATTTATTTTAAATAATTGATTTTGCTCCATGTATTTTGGTTCAGGCTGAAATTTGTGCAAGCCAGATTAGGAAAAATATTATTTTTAAGTTTCGATCACTTTTAAGAGTTTCTTGTATATCAATAGATTTTTTTTTCTTATTTTTTTGTTTTGTTTTATTTTAGGAAACACCAACATGTAAGGAAAGGCCTTTGGAAATACAAAATGGTTTTATGCACAGTAAAGCTGCATGTCAACGGACTCGCAGTAACTCAACCAGTAAGTTGCGAAGAAGTAATTTTTCCTGTTGCAATATTCAGGGAGCACACAGCACAGTACTTCATCCTGTGATGGTTCTGCAGCATTAAAAGAAACTGCAGCTATGTCCAAACTTAGTCAGGATCCTCAGCTAAGGATTACTGATGCATAAAAGCATCAGCTTTTATATTCACAATATCCTAAAGTCAGGAGTTTTGTACATAAGCATTCCATTTTGTTTTGTCAGGTATATTTTAAATAGGCCAATGTTGTTTTGGTAGGGAATCTTTGCTTTTTGATGTATTTAACATTAATGGCTATCCCCACAGTGAGGACTGAAAAGATCACTCCCTTTCTAATTAACATTTACCTGATAAAATGAATGTGCAGAAATGTCCAACGCTTGAGAAATAATCCAGCCTATCTCCCCACATCTGGCAGGTGTAAACCCGTACTGGATAGAGGAGTTGGATTGCACGGCGCCCCGGAAAGCCGTGCCCTTCAGAGACCGGCAGCACCACGCTCTCCACACCAGCCGCAAATCTCTTTCCCAACAGCTGGACTGCTCTGGAGGGAGAACCCCAGTAAGTGCGCTACAGGAAATCACCTGAAAAACAGACAAAGCTGCCTCCACTAAGAATCTCTCAAAGACCTTGGCAGTCACGTTTCCTGCCAAAACCCACCCTCCTTGCAGGCCCTGTCAGGGAAGATGGCGCACGCCTGCTTCTTCCGTTTTTTAACCCCATCCCTCTTCTGCGAGAAGTAGGAGAGCGGGAAAGGCTCTGTGCCAGCAAACCCCCATTTCTTCAGCAGCTTCTCCCTCCCCTTGCCCCAGCAGGTTTTACAGTGTGTGTAAATCCCCCTGTGTGGTTCGCACCACCTTGGTAGCCACCTGGAGCCACCTCAGAGCTCACCGCTGAAGAGGCCCTTCCCGGGCATCTCCCCGCCGTTGGCCATGGAGATGCTCTGTGCACGTGGCCGATAAAACCTCGGCCTGAGCTTTGGGCCCCACCGCTGCGAGCCTCCCAAGTCACCTCCATTGGCCCAGCCATGGCCACAAGCAGGTATGGACTTGCCTCATGGCTGGTAAATGCTGCTCTCAGCCATGCTGGCGGCATTATGCATCCCCCTTTGCGCCCCAGGGTGAATCAGACATATGTAAACAACGGCGTTCATGTAGGCTAGAGACTGGCAGTCTCTTGCTCTCCAGATGGATGACAAGTGATTCACCACAGGCTGGGAGAGAGAAGGCTGTGCAGGGTAGAGAAGATGTAGGTATTTATGGCCAAAGGTTGCCAGGCTCAAAGCCTTGAGTGGGGAGATGGAGGTGAAGCTCCACACACTCAGCTGCCACCTCTTGCCTTGCCTGAGGCCTGGCTGAGGGACCTGCTATTGCTCCCTCATCTTTTCCTGGCCAGTTCCTCACCCTGGGGGCACCACAACATGACCTAGAGCTTTAATGGGAGTGAGGAGGTGACAACTGGAGCACAAAGCCCAACCAAACAATACCTGGCACAGACAGACAGACCCACCCTCGGGGATTCGCTGGGCTTCCTCCTGCTTGAAGATCCTGCATGGGCAGTTGCTGCCCCTTGGCAGCGGCTCTTCGGTGGCATCACTGTTTTGGGTATTGTCACCCACCACACGGAAATACAAAATGCACCCTCTCACAGAGAAGCAAAAGAAATTTAAAAACTTCTGATATCAGATTCAGAAGACTCACAACAAAATAAGCAATCCCCCTGATCTGGCAGATGTATACTTTTTGGAGAGTACATTTTTGGTATTGCACAGACATTTCCCTCTTAATCATGTTCCTAATCCCATGTTGAATAAATAATCTCATTTTCATGTCAAAGCTAAAACTTATTTTCTCACATATGCAGAAGCTGAAATTTTGGCTGATGTTCCACACACTTCAACACCTGTTAGTTTCACTTTGTTGCATTAAAAAAAAAAAAATGTGTTGAAGTCTCTTGGACTTGAAATGAGTACAATTAACTCCAGCCCTGCTGAACTTCGTGCATAGTTAGCTTTAGGTAATGACGTTCGCGAGTGCTTAGATGAGTTTGTAATACCCAATTTCATGTTCAAATAGGAGGTTTTCATTAAATAATTCATTAAAGGTTCATTAAAATGGGTCAAATCTCAGGGGCTGGAGTTAAGAAATCCAGTATCTGTGGAATGGAGGGAGGAAAAGCACTCAAAAATTACTTACCTTGGTTATCAAGCAAAGAGGATATGCTTCACCTCTTACAGAAGTAGAAAGAAGCCTATGTGGTGGCTTAACAGAGGCAGTGCAGGGTAGTTCACAGTTTAAATAGCTTTTGTGAGCACTAATTCATATTTTAGGGGAAATGCTGAAAACAGATTATATTTGTCCCAAGATAAAGTTATTTAGTCGCAAGATAAGGGAAGAAATTAGGATTCCTTGTTTCTTCAGTTTTTAGAGGCAAATATGATAATCCTTGTTTAGGACCCCTAATGGCACAAGTGGGATTTTAGCATGGAGAAACAAATGACAGCACAAATATTTCTTTCTATAGCATTACACCACTTTGGGGGCCAACATTCTACTTTTGTTCTGGTTTAGTCACTGGGACAATTTCAGCAAGCAGTGATTGTCTGAATAACAAGTGGCTTCTGAAAATCAGAGATAATTTTTTTTTATATATAATCTTTAGTACCATCACTTATGAGAAAGAAAATTTGCAAAAAAACAAGTTGTTCTAAAGTATACCCAAGAATTTCTGTCTCTGCATTAAAGTTATGTGGGTTTTTTTATGTTCACAGGCAATTTCAAGGCCATCTAGATCACTAAGTACAGCACAGCTAGTGCACACATCCTGTGGCTCACAGGCTTCAGTAATCTCAAACATCGTATTGATGAAAGGACAAGGGAAGGTAAGACTGCCTCTGTTAATTTACCATAGTTTTACTTCATTTCACAAGTGTAATCTGCAAAGCGCAGGGAAGTGACTTCAGGTATTGAGGTTGCTACTTGTGCATTGCCAATTCATATCCAGGCTTTGCCAGGAATGATTAGTTATCATTCACTTGCTTCTTAATTTTCTGAAGCATCTCTTTGCTGAAGCACAGTCTTCAGGTCCTAATAGCACATCCGCATCAAGTTAGCAACACCAACACTGATAGTCACTGCTAACCTTTTTGGCAGCTGGAGGTAGGCTTGTAAACATAGACTCTGTGTCACCCATAAATAGCACTAGTACAGCAACCTTAGAGCTTCCTTCAAGTCAGAGTTGAGCCATAAAGACAGTTCTGTTGAAAAGGAAAATGAGCTACCAGGAACACACAAGACCTCAATAAAAAATAATAAACATTAGCAAAAAATCACAATCAAGTCTGGGGAAAGACAGAAGACAGTTGTATATACAAAAGTAATGCCACTGCCGATGCTTAAAAAGAGAATACAGAAACAGTGAACTTAAATACATAGCTTTTGAACTTGTTGAATAAGGTTCTGAATCTGTTCATTAATAACCTTTTCAGTTAAACTATTTAATATTTTATTAATAACTATTTAAACTGTGAGATGGTTCTCGGAAATCATTCCATAAAGTATCATCATCATCATCGTTTACAAAATAATAATTTTGAGAGCCTGTGAGGATGTTATCAGCACAGTACTTTCAAGTTTTCATTTGAGGGATATTAAATGGCTTCAGAGGTGTGAATTAGTCTTGTAACATCCTTCTAAGGTTAGCAGGTAGTGTTTGACTTTTATATAAGGGGAGGAAGAGCAAAGAACAAGTAGGTGAGAAGTATCTACCGATAAAGGTCTGTTGGTTGCTTAAACTTACAACATGCATTAACTCTGTTTGGTAGAGGGTAAGAAGGAGTTATCTCCACAAGATCTCCATCTCTGTGCCCGAAATTAGTAGTAATATCAAGATCTTCTATGTAATTTTTTAATAATCTCATTTATGGGAGAGGAAATTAAGAAGAATAACAGAGAAATTAATCTCTCAAGGCTGCTTATTGGTTCAAGGACAGAAAAAAAGAATTTAGACACCTTCCTATATAATAGTGAATTAATTGATTGCAACAAACATAAAGCAAAACATGAGGTTATTCCACTGAAATTTTCATTTGCTTTTACTACTGGCAGGTGGTTGATTATTTTTTCATGGATTATACTATCCCATTGACTAGTACTGCCCATATAGATAATGCAGAAGAAACTGCAAATGAACTACTATGAGAAATTAACATGGGCTCTCACACTGTTTTTCTTCCATAAATTAGGGTTTGGGCTTCAGTATTGTTGGAGGGAAAGACAGCATTTATGGACCAATAGGCATCTATGTCAAAACCATCTTTCCTGGTGGAGCTGCTGCTGCTGATGGAAGGCTACAAGAAGGTGGAAAATACTTCTTTTCTTCCTTTTCCCACTCCAGGTTCCCCCAGAATGCTACATAAAGGCAGAATAAAGTGAAGCTGAAATGAGCCATAAGTGGCTTTTACACCTGCATCCATTATTGCATTTGCAAGACTCCTTTTGAGTACATGTATGTATCATGTAACTTATTGCACAATACAGTAATAGTAACAGTACATTTTTCTCTCTTTAAAAACAGGTGATGAAATCTTGGAACTGAATGGAGAATCTATGCATGGATTAACACATTATGATGCTTTACAAAAATTCAAGGTTACGTACTCTCCTTCCAGAACAATTTCTGTCTTGACACACAATATGCATGTGAACTCAACCCATTCTTTCATTACCTTTTCTTTCTGGCAGGCCAAAAAGGGTCTTCTGACACTTACAGTCAGGACAAGCTTCAGCACGCCTCATTCTGCTTCCAGCTGTCTGTCACCCCACTTGTGTCAGTCACTGAGCTCTAGTACGTGCATAACCAAAGAAAACAGCTCTTTCAGTTCAGAAAGTGCATCATTCTCATTAAATGCTACAAAGCCCAATGACAGGGTCATAATGGAAGTTACCCTAAACAAAGGTAAGTGCTAAAATTAGCTGCACACTGGCAAACAAGGCACTGACTGACAAAACATTGTTCATTTGCTCTCTAAATGTCTTTCCTCACTAACCTGATTCTTTTCCTGAACTGAGTTTTTTTAGTACACTAAATTAGATCTTGGTGCTTGTCAGTGCTAACAACTATCTATCAACAGCAGGATTTTGAACACCATCTGTCCTCAAGAGCCAATCATTCATTTTTTCCACTCAGGCATCAGAGTCACATTCATATCCTTCATATGAAAAAGTAAACCTCTTGGCAACAACAATCAATTATTAAGCAGATTATGCAACTCTTACCCATAATTATGCAAGCAGTTAATTTCATTCTTGAAAAGGCTTAACAACAAATAAAATACATATGTATATCTTCTTGTAGTTCTTTCACCTCCTCTCCAACTGTCATCATCTTCTATTTATAAACAACCACTGGCAGAATGAAATTAACTTTTAAATATTGGAACATCAAAGCACCGAAC